GTTCTGCAAGAATGGCGGCTGCTGACTGAGGACCAAGCTCTGCAGGCAGCAGCACAGAAGTAAGGGTGTCAATACCGCACCATCCCGTCCTTACTTCTGCGCTGCTGCTGGCGGTGGCTCTGCCTTCAGAGCTGGGATCCTGGCTATCAGCCGCCGCTCTCCAGCTGCCCAGCTCTGAAAGCAGTGACACCACCAGCAGCAGCACAGAAATAAGGGTAGCAGTACTGCAATCCCCTCTACAATAACCTTGCGACCTCCCCAACAATTTCTTTCTGGGTCAGGACCCCTACAATTACAACACCGTGAAATTTCAGATTTAAATAGCTGAAATCATAAAATTTATTATTTTTAAAATCCTATGACAGTGAAATTGACCAAAATGGACGGTGATTTTGGTAGGGCCCTACCCACAGCCTACACGCCAGGCAGAAATCCTGTATACACAAGGCAGTACCAGCTGGGGAGCATAAAAACAGTCTTGTCTCCCCAGGGAAGAACAGCAGTGAGGTCAGCACAGATCATGGCCTTGTTAAATATGGTTATCGAGTAGGACCCTGTACACCAGCTTTGCACGTACTCCAGCCATTTGCATCCAATTTACCCAGACTCGCACTGGAGACTGAGCACAGTATAGATTTTGCAAACCACTCCTTCTTTGTTCAGCCTCATTCTCTTTTGGAGCGTGATTCTTGTCTCGTGAACTCAAACAGTCTAGCTGCAGTTACATCTATTTCACACAGGCAACAATCACTTCAGAGGTGGTGAGTTGGTGTAATTCACTAGTAGTGATGTGTAAGGATCACTTTACACCACCTTTACATGAGTGCAGCTGCCTACACACAGCGCTATGGAGACCTGAGCCCTCTGTGTGCACATAGCCCTGCAGTCACTGCTAGAGTTAAACATTTCTCACACTGGTGACTATTTATCGTCACTTGTGCTCTACGAGTCCCACCCGAGACAGGAGGCCGTTGTTCATTCATTGCAATGAAGGCCAGACTCTCCCTACTGCCTGTGGACAGACAGCTCCGCATGTCAGAGACTGTGGAGTTAAGTTAAAATTCACTGACAGAGACTTCATTCACACAGAGTTCAGGTTGCCAGGAGGTATCTCGTGCCCTTCTAGGACATCGACTTGGGCAAAATTCAAACCCCTGGAAACACGGTAATACAGAGTTAAGGTGAATGCCAAGGCAGCCTTAACTCTGCCCCCTGGAGCTGGACTAGCCATTTCTACTGGGAATTATTTGCATGTGCTCCAGCTGCAGTTCCTGTGTTAGGTGTAGCTGTACTGAATGGTGGAGGTGATGAGCTGGAGCAGCTTCGAAGAGCTGTGACTGTGATATGAGATCTGGTTCTGAGCCACCCATGTGACCAAAGGGAAGAGGTGCCTTTGTACCCTGAGGGATCCAGTATGCATCATT